AATTTATAAATATATAAAAAAAATATAATATATATATATATATATATATATATATATATATATATATATATAATATAATAATAATATATATAATAATATTATATTATATATATAATTTAACGCTTTATTTACCGGATTATAACAATCTCGTCCGTGATCCATGAAATTATTTAGATTAATATAACGCAACAAGCTCTTTCGAAAGTATTATTTAAAAGAAAATTATCGAGCTTCTCCTAACATAGTTCACTCATTTAAAAGCATATTAATAGGCTTTCAGCAGGTTTGGGGAGAAATAGATTTTTGAAATAGTAAATGAACTATAAATATTTGTATCTTCTCATGTAATATAATAAGAATGATAAATAAGCTGTTGATTATATTAAATTATATTATTATATTAAAAAGATAGTAATTACGTACGTACACATTACGTAGTTAAATATATTTGAAAATACTATTTCAAGGGAAGTTCATTTGCCAAATTCTGTATCCCGCGAGAAGAAACAAACTATTTCAAAAATCTATTTCTCCCAGCCCCGGCTTCCAGTAAATAAAGCGTTAAATTGATAATGAAATGTGACGAAAAGATTGGTGGTAACATTTTCTGATTTACCACTTCGAAACATAATCGGCAAGGGTCGTAGACCGGGAAAGGAACACAATAAGAAGAGATCAAAGAATAGTATTAGTAAGAATCTACTTTTATTAAACTATACGCATAATTTTCTATAGAAGTCATATTTCCAGACGTAACGAATAGCCTATTTCGCAATGAAATTTTCAGAAAATAAATCTGTCAATTAACTATCAAAATTGATACATCGACACTTAAATTCACGAATAATCTCTTGTTCGACTTTTGCATTTTATACACACACACGCGCGCACACACACACACACACGCATACAAGACACAGTGAAATAAATGTGATTGTACAGTTTTGGTTTCGTTCCATCCTCTCCGAATCGAGCGATTTTCGATAGGAGCGTAGGCGCAACGATGAAAAAGTTAATTCAACGGTTCACAATTGAGAGGTCGACCCGTGCAACGGGCGCCGCGAGGAGGCCGCCCCTCCGACGACGAGAACAACAGTAATCCGTGGAAATGAAAGAACGAGGGTTATATTGCGTCACCGGCCGGTCAACAGACCAATTAACGCCTGTTTCTCTTTCTCCTTCTTCCGGACCGACTCCAAATTTCGCTGCTTCCAGGAGCTCTTGCGCAGCTTTATGGGTCGCGAGCCCACGTATCGTCCTGAAATCACAATTTCCCTCGATCAAATAAATCAATTTCGCAACAGTTCGGGGTCACCACCAGCTTGTATCTCTCCTTTCGTTTCATTTAAAAATTCATCTGCCGGCAACACGATAAATTGGTAGACTTACGGATCCTTATGGGCAGAATGAAAACTGTCTACATTCACTGCCAAGAAGTGGGGGCACTGCACAAAAATCTATTTCTTCTTATCAATACGAGATGCAAAGAATATATGATGTTTCGTTTCTTTTCACTGTTGTGTAAATCTGACGTGTTCATTTTTCTCATAAATTCATAAAGATCCGCAATTAATTAATAAGTAATTAATATTAATATTATATAATTATATAATAATTATATTATATATTATTATATAATTATATTAAATATATATAAATTATATTATATATTATAATTATATAATAATTATAATATAATTAATAATAAGTAATTAATATCTAACTACACTGTGATCATATTCGCTATATGAGCCGTTTATTTTGAAAGTGGCACGAGTCACTTTTTTTTTTTTTTAGATGAAAAGATACCGTTCAATTGTAATGAATTGTTACCATTAACTCGGCTCATATGTATACAGAAAATCATTATTTTAGTTGAAAGATTCTAAACCGAGTCCCTGTAGAAAACTATGGGGAGCGTCAACGGTCGATTTTTCAGAACAGAGGAAGACCTTCCTGAAATGATTTACCATAAGAATCGTACAGTTTTGCAGCATCCCATGTACAATGCTGTACGTGAATTTTCAGAAGCAGAGTTCCAAAGACTGGAATATAAGATAACTCCTACGGCAGTTCCGGAGGGGGGGGGGGATGTGAATAAACTCCTCGCGAAGTGGTTTTCATGAGAAACAAATTACAAGGTTCCGCACCCTCGTGAGAACATTGTTGGAGGGGTGGGTGTTACGTATACCTTGATATTCAAGGAGAATTCTTTCCGAGTTTGTTGTTTCTACTCCAGACAGACAACACCCACGATCATTATAAATACAATTTTATCACGTTTCTTTCGCGTTGTCTTCGACAGCTTCGGGCGAATCTTACAAGTGTTCCATGCAAATTTCTTTTCGCGACCTCTACGTACCAGTTATTTAAATTTCAAACGTCCATTGTATTTACACATTCCCTGCCTACTACATACGAACATCCACCTGCATTCTGTTATCAACGAACCTCCACACCACTTCCTTTATTTCATCCGAATCGTGCAATTGTCTATTGCAATTTGACATTGCTTCGACAGGGACCGACGCTTGTGCTCAATTTCTCCTTCGAACGGTCACATAATAAACATTTGATTACAGAGAGAGATCCTTGAGGTGATTTGAAGTAACTTTTTCCTTAGCGAAAATGCAATTCGCAGCTTCGTTTACGAGTTATTAACGAAAAACGCTGACCAATCGGAGAGCTAGTGTGGCCGGCGACGCTCCGCCCTTGCGGCCAATGCCGCGTCGCGCCGGCCGTCTGACGCACAGTGGCAGTGGTCGCGAGGGCGGGGCGTCAGCCATACGCGATCTCTCATTGGTCAGCGTTTTTCGTTAATAACTCGTAAACGAAGCCACGGATTGCATTTTCGCTAAGGAAAGAGTTACTTCGAATCGCTTCAGGAATCTTTAGCTCTAGCCTTTCAACGTAGCCATCCGGAACATTGAAATTTTTCATTGAAATTGTCCCTTCATCGGCGATCTAACTTTTGAATATTCAACGATTTCATTGTCTCAGGATAATGTTCGAAACATTTGCAAGATCTCTGCGGTGACACGCATTGACGAACATTGCCAAAGTCGTTGGATTTTTCAAGTCTATACTCGCGAAAAATTTCACGATGTTTTCGTTCATTTATTCCGGACTGGAATAACACCATGACTGTTTCTCCGTTGATGCGGTACAATTTTCGTTCGATTTGTTTCCACGAGGAAGAATAAATTCTCCAGAGTTTTTCTACCAATTTAGATCGCCTTTAGAATAACAAGATTCGATCGGAAACATTTCTAGCCGCGCCGATACGGAAAAAACGTTGTCGATTCTGCAACGACGTTTCGTTCGAAATGATTACGAATGCGAAACGTGAACCACGAAGAGATTATCGCGAGCGCAAAATATCCGATGCCCCGAACGAAATTTTACGTAATAATGACGGGGGCTTCGTTTATTTCCTTCAAATGCTAACGAACGAAAATCAAGTTCTCGAACGCTTTTACGTCCGTTAAAATGTTTTCAGGGGGTCGCGCTCGTTCACCGTCACCGGTTTGCTCAGGAAACGCAATGGATTGGCTCGATAATTTCGGAATAAAAGGAACGAAAAAGAAAAGAGCAGAAGAGGAACAGAGGAAGAAGAAAAAGCGTGAAGAGAAAGTAACAGCTGTTCCGAAAAAATTGAATTGATTGTTATCGGAGCGATGCATCGCGGGGATCATCCTGCGGCCAAAAATATTCTTCGAGATGCATCGGTAAGAGAGCGGTTCTATCTGGGAAAGGCACGCGACCTCGGAACACAACCATCAATTTTCCCGGCTGTTTCGCGATCGCCCACGCCGTCACCCATCTATCCCGTCACTTTCCGTCGCTTTTGGAAACGCGAAACTCGAAACACGACAAAAGAGACGCGTGACTCCTCCCGCGACGGCCTACCAAAAACTCCTAAAGCCTTCTACGCATTTGGACCCGGTCTCTTTCTCAATGAATTATCGACATTCGCAAAGAGTAACCCACATATGAGCCGTTTATTTTGAAAGTGGCATAAGTCACTTTGTTTTTAAGTCGAGATATTTAAGGGTTCGCGTTTTTTAACACGTTTAAAAATATGGATGCTAACTTTCGAGAAGATTTACTCGTATTTGTTGTCTCAGGATACTGATATTTTTCTCGGTATAAATAATTTCGTATAAACATTTAAAAAATCATCACTTTTCATTACGGTAAAGTGACTTGAGCCACTATCAAAATAAATAGTTTAGAAAAATGACTGACATATGTTAATTTTGTCCGACGTATTTTACCGAAGTGACGTTTTGAAAGGACAGTGATTTACTAAAATTGATGACTAAATTACATATATAATAATAATTTATACCGTGAACATATTTAATGTAAAGGTTTGTTTTAAGTATTTTTTATTTTAATATTCATAAAACACAAAAATAATTGGAACATTTTGAAACATAAGTATAAGTAATTTGTATGAAAATACGTCGGTTCAATTTAATTTTCGTCATCGATAGGCATGATTAAGTCCTCGGAAATCGTGTTTCGTTTCAAATTTTTTAAACAACTGTGGTATATGTCGTTTCGTCGTTCCAAGTAATAATAGAATTTAAAAAAAAAAAGCATTTCAGTCATCGTCTAGTAGACTAGTCCCTCTATCATCTATAAAAAAAACTCAAGACGTTTAGTTCAGTTTCGAAAAAATTATTCAGTTTTAAGAGATGTAGGAACACTTTTGTGGGCCACTGTACATCTATACCTCCAGTTGAAGATAAAATTAAGTGAACGGAATGTAAAAAAAAATGGATGGTAATTACTACACAGGGTGATCCAGGTTTTAATGATCGAACTTTGTCGGTGTATTCTGTGACACAAAGTAAGAAAAAAATGTTACGTAAACATAGGTCATATAGAGCTTCATTAAGAAGTTATAACAAAAATTCAGAATAGGAATAGTAATCAACTCGCTGTTACTGCGAGCATTTGGCTTGAATAGATCAGCACATGCCGTGCGATTATGTAAGCTGTGTTTATTAATACATTTTGAAATGTCTACCGTTGTTGACAATACACGATTGACAAAAAAATTAATTTATTTATTTTATTAATTTTTGTTACAACTTCTTAATAAAGCTCTATATGACCTATGTTTACATAACATTTTTTCCTTACTTCGTGCCATAGAATATACCGACAAAGTTTGAACATCAAAACCTGGGGCACAATGTATATCCGAGATTATTATAGAATAAAATCTAATTAATTAAGTAGTAATAATTTTGTGTGTGATATCGAAAAATTCTGTTTATTTGCAGAAGTTTCGGTTCGCTTAGTGTTTGCGGTGTACCGATGAGAAAGTTATGAAAACCAAGATTTCAAGGGACAATCTATGAAAGATAATTTAAGTACACGCAAAATGTAGAAAGTTTATTTATAGCAGGGTCACGGATCAGATGTGCGTAGTTTTAGTCATAGCGATCGCAAGGTTCCGCCTAGCCAAACCAGGCACCTCAAACAGCCACTCGTATACCTGTTCAAAGGATCATCATTTCCGTGGTTCTACTTTCCATAAAACATTAACAATAATGGAACCGACAAAGTCTCACAATTACCATTTACTAAAAACAGAATCGTAAAATGTAAAAAGAGGGTTGCTATTTACTCAAAACTTATCGATATAATTATTGTCGTTATCGCGTCGTTATCATTGTCACAACAGAAATGCAAATATTGCGCCTTACGCAAACAGTTAACAATTCATTCTACATATATTTAATGGTTCGATGCATCCGGAGTTACAGCTTGAAATAGTTCAACTTTCGCCTACATTTTCACGTTGATCTTTATGCTTCTAATAATTAAGTAATTAAATAATTATGTCTACAGTAAAAATTACTTAGATGAAACGAATTTAATCCTAAGCAAGCAAACAGATAAAGAAACATTTTCTATCGGATGTGGATCGTTTATAGCAAATCTGCGACCTCGCGAGAACGGGAATTTATTCAACAGCGTTTCGTTGGACCGTTTATTTTGAAAATGGTGTTAAGTCCATTTAAAAAAGAAAAAATGTGATATCGCGTAATTTATGCTTAATTTAGCGAAAAAAACTTTTTATTTATAACTAGTTAAAATTTAGTATCTTAAAAAATGCCAATGCTTTTTGTTCAATTTAAAATTGGTCGAGAAAAGAAATTGCGTAGCCATTGATTATTGCAACCCGTAAATATACATTATTTTAGTTAAATTCGCCTAAAAGAAATGTATACAGTGTCCCAGGTTTTAATGTTCAGACTTTGTCAGTGTATTCTATGGCACGAAGTAAGAAAAGAATGTTACGTAAACATAGGTCATATAGAGCCTTTATTAAGAAGTTATAACAAAAATTCAGAATAGGAATAGTAATCAACTTGCTGTTACTGCGAGCATTGGCTCGAATAGATCAGCACATGCCGTGTGTTTATGTAAGCTGTGTTTATTAATACATTTCTAAATCTATTAATAACCGTTGTTGACAATACATGATTGACCTCGATCGAAGATTTGTTTTTTATTTTTTATTTTTTTTTCTAGTTGATTACTATTCCTATTCTGAATTTTTGTTGTAACTTCTTCATAAAGCTCTATACGACCTATGTTTACATAACATTTCTTTCTTACTTTGTGCCATAGAATATACTGACAAAGTTTGAACATTAAAACCTGCGACATAATTACCCTATATTTTGTTAATTGACATATATGCTAACCCTTAATTTTCTCGCAACAACAGAAAATGGATTTGTACCACTTTCAACGGTCCATGTTACGATAGAAATCTACAAAAATGTTAATAAATATCGAACAGCTGCTCTTGGTGTTCCACAAGCATAACGTCAACACCGAAATCTCTATATCGAGCTCTAAAAGTAACTAACACACACGTTGCTTTATAAGAATGTCAAGACCGAACTTGTTCAGACTTCATTGTCATTTTTATTAGAACGTTCGCTTAAATTTAGAAATTTGTTCGATCATTTCCAACGAAGGGGTCTTCGCGGTTTCGACGATTTTAAAATCGAATATATAAAACCGATCATTTCGAACTGTCACGATAAATTTAGCGTTAATGAGAATGGCAACGCCGTTCCTCAACTTTTCCTTCAATTCGTCATCGGCCTCCCACACGGTCACGAATTCTTCTCGAAATTCCGCGAGTTCTTTCCGGACGACGCGTTTTTCCAAGCTGACCGGCGATTGTGTAGACGATCGTCATCGCGCGAAGTACAGTAAATTCTCCCGAATTAACGCTCAGATTTTCCAGAAAAAAATGGACAATTTTTTGAAGAGGAAATACGACGATTATTCGAGCCTCGCGGCTCGTTTTTCGGATCGTTAACAATCGGTAACTATAAAAAAACGAGTCGCACGGCTCGAATAATCGTGTCTTCTCTTCCCAAATAGTCCACTTTTTTTGTGCGCAATCCGAGCGCGAATTAGGGAGAATTTACTGTAGTCGGGATCGATCGGGGAACACGCGCGCGATCCACGATCACGAAGCGGTGCCGAGAGGCTCGATCATGGACTACATGTGCTCGAACTACTTGTTGCGTCTGACCGAATTCTCAGCGCGCCACTTGTCCCGCTCGATGATGTCCGCATGCGTTTCTCTTTGTGACGAACGAACAATAAAGCACCGATAAAGGCAGCGATTTATCATTTTCGCGAAGCAGAATCGGCGACCTGACCCGAACGCGCATCCGAATATGCCGAGGGACAAACTGTCGAACCATCGACTCGACGCAGCCTACAAATTTCTAAAAATATATAGTCATTTCTTGCGTAGCATAACACTTTTGGACTTACATTAACCCTTGCACGAAGAATGCTTTCGTCCACTTCGCGGCTGTTGTAACTAAATCTAATTTCTATGCAGCAACTTTATTTCACATATTTTTATCGAATCTTGCAATATATCTTTGATCTCACCTTTTCCACAGATAAAAACTGACCGTTCTTTTTTCATGTAATTTTGTATATTTAATTCTTCTGAGAAAATTTGTATATTTAATATTTCATTGTGAATAATTAATTTAATAATTGATCCCCAATAATTATGTATAAAATGTTGCAAAATAACGCTTGTTAAAAATCAGAATAAATGTCTTATCGTTACTTTCATAAACCAATATATGGAACAGCCGTTTTTTGTGCTCCGTAAATCTAGCGTTAAATACCAGCTTTCAAGCCTGCCTGCCAGACCAGAACCTCCCCTTAACCCCTTAACGCACAGTTTTTTTTAAAGAAAACCGGCCAAAAGAAATCAATTTTTTTTATGTAAAAAATTGTATGAAGATAGTTCAGAAGAAGATATAGCCGTTGATTGGAAGTAGATAAGCAATATCCAACCAAATCCACATCCTCGAAGGTTTCCATTTGTTACCGCCCCTGATTCAACTTTTCTTTTGGTGGAGAATTTTGATATACCGCGCTTTTGTTCCATGGAGAAAGGCTATATTTTATTCTTGAATAAATAAGTGTTATATAGCTTACAATCCCATGTAAATGATAAATATCAATAAAACGATTTTTTTTTTCTTTGCTTTCACATTGATATTTTCAATTCTCGATTATATTCGGGTGTGAAGAATTACAGCAGCATAAAATACAACGCCGCTCGAATTGTCTCGAGTGTGCACAGTTTGGCCTGTTCGGCGCGCTCGAATTAACTCGAGCGTACAAGTTAAGGGGTTAAAGTTCCGAAGCTCGATGCTTCGAACTTCGCCCGATCGCGCCAAATGGCCTGTTACCTCGCGAATTATTTTTCCGAATGTGCTTACTAATGTCGTTCTCAGGTGTGTTAGACGGGCGACGACCTTAATTCTCCTAGAAGAACGCTCGCAGCGAGCTCTCGCGAGCTGAAACACGAGCCACCTTGGGTGACAATATGTTTATTTTGTAATCGACCGTGTCCCTCGCGGCTTACAATAAATATATCGACGGAAATATGCCTGGCATTCGAACGAAGAGAAGAACGCGTGGTCAGCGCGCGGATCGCGGAGCGTTCGTGTATGACTCTGATTCATCGGGATCGCTTATGCTTCGCGATCGGAGGAGCCTCGCCAGTGTCCGAGAAAAATGGAACGCGTTTAGGACGATCGGGAGAAAATCCGGGAGGAAATTCGGAATGAAAGTTCGGGGCGGTCGCGCAATTTTTTCGTCGTCGCGGGACCTCGTAGCGAAGGAAGCCGATGCGCGCTCGAGAGGGTGGCATAAATTAGGCCATTTTCGCAGCCGCGTTGCAATATCGAAGCAATCTCTTTGCGCTCGTCAGCATAGACAGATGGTCGGACGGTAGTGGTACCAGGTACATCAAATAGTTTCGCAGTCGAAATATTAAGTCAGAGATTGATTAAACGATTAAATCAAAACATTAACCCTGTGATATCAGTTTTATGGCTTTACGCTACATTTAGATTGGACAGGAACTATAGACTCGGCGCGTCGAAGCATCGGCATAATCGTTAACACTTTAATGGCCGATCGCACGACGTATGAGCCGTTTATTTTGAAAGTGGCATAAAGTTACTTTGTTTTTAAGTCGATATATTCAAGGGTTTGCGTTTTAACACGTTTCAAAATATGGATGCTAACTTTCGAGAGGATTTACTTGTATTCGTTATCTCAGGATACTGATATTTTTCTCGGTATAAATTATTTCGTATAAACATTAAAAAATCACCACTTTTCATTACGGTAAAGTGACTTGTGCCAGTTTCAAAATAAACGGCTCGTATGTGCGGTGCTGCCGCCGAAGATTATTGGAAAAAAGACAAAAAAATGTACGAAAACACTTTCTTTCTATTTAATAAATTGTGCCATTCGGACATTAAATTACCACGACGTCGTTCGTCCCGATCCAGTTGGAAGATTAGCCGGAGAAATAAAACGTCAATTACGTTAAAATATCGGTAATAAAAAAGGGTGTACGAAGAGTGTAATCGTTCTTGCCAAGTACCGTTACACGTAGGTGGATCGCTTTAAAAATTATCACACGAAGGAAAAATATTAAATTTGTTGTATTAAATCTATTGTTATCGTTGTCGTTGTTTTGTTATTTTTTGTTTTATGCATATGTTCGCACATGTTGAATTGTTTCATGAATTTACATAAAGTTTTTTTTTTAAATCAATTCTTCAAAAATATTGCCGACTCCTGGCGACGTGCGACCACTAAAGTGTTAACGAACTAATTTTACGCGGTCGTACAGTTTAAAAAATGTCGAGGATTTCGAGCGTAAGCCGTGTCCTTATCGAATCGTTACCTCAACGTTTCGCAAGCAATGGCTAGGCTAGGCTTCGTCAGGATCTGGTGACACGTCGATACAGTCTACATCTAGCTACGCAGAATCTCGTGTTTTTAAATAGGATGAAGATAAAAAGAGATAGCAGGAATTTGTTAACCGTTTGCGTACCACGAGCCACTTTTGCGCTCTTCAGATTTTCTGTCGAGGAAAGCCAGGGCATTTGGCCGAAACGGACGACTTACGGCCCACCCGAAATTTGTCGAAACGTGCTCGGTCTTTCAGACGCGTGTATACGTCGCGCGTCGCATCGCTGTCGGTAATCCAATTTGCATTTTGTTGTTACCTATTCTAAATTAATAGTATATATATTTTTTCATTCATAACGTTTTATTTTATGTTTCACGGCTTTTTTCAACGCATAATCGAAGGAGCGCTATTGCGCTCTTCGGCGCTTTTCGACGCATAATCGAAGGAGCGCTATTGCGCTCTTCGGCGCTTTTCGACGCATAATCGAAGGTACGCTATTGCGCTATTTATACTGTTTTTTCAGAACCATCTGGTACGCAAACGGTTAATAAAAGAGCAAGCAAATTCGATGTTGACTCCGCCGAAGCGGCGATTGAAAAAGTTGGATGTCTTGTTGGACGAGTCTGATACCGCGTTGTAACGTAGAAATCCGAAACACTGCAAAAGCGTTAAACATGTGTACACGTCCTGTAACGAATGAATGCAATGCGAGCAACGTTTCGGGACAAGATAATTCGTTACGAGGTATACGAATCGGAGCCAGAAGAAGATGGAGAACGATAAGAAGACAGCCAAGAACGAAGAGAAAGATGAATAAGAAGGAGAAGGCGAAGAAGACGAAGAAAAAAAGTAAGGGAAGAAGAAGATGTCGCGAAACGTTACGTTTCTCAACGCGGAATTTCGATGACGTCGTGGACGCACCACCGACGAGGACGATAACCACACAATGACAGCGATCCGATCTCGATGACGAGCGACAAGGAGAGAGACGAGGAGCCGAAGCAACGGAATCTCGGACCAGAGAATCAAGAAGAGCAAGTCGAAGAGACCCGCGATTGGCTGTTCCCCATCGAGTGGAGGGGTCGTCAACGGGGGCGAGACGAACCGGTCGGGTAGGGGTTGCTGAATGAGTAGCGAGACGTCCGGCGTCGCGACGCACTCCGTCCCAATCACCCCGACGGGCAAACCAATGTCCGACTGCTCCGGCGAAAACGATCCAGAGCCGAGAGAATCCTCGTCGACGGGCAACCGAGCGAAAAAGATCGACTGATCTGAGAAACGAACAGACGGCCGTGTCTCCCTCCCGACGACGAAGGTGAGTGTCTCGTTTGCCTGACGTTGATCTTTGCGATCGCTGGACCACGCGTTATACCACGCGATCTCTCATTTACGGGCCGTGGATTTGTTATTTTAGAATCGCGATCCTCGATTACAAGACCGCGTTGTCTCTTTGATTTTCAAACCGTGATCTACGAACTAGGGAACCGCGACCGCTGACTTTAGAATCGCGATCGTTCACTTTAGGATCGCGATTTCTTTTATTTTATCACCGCGACGACCGACCTCGAAACCGTGATCTTTCGATCTAAGGACCGCGATCTTTGATTTTTTTAGAATCGCGACCTTTGATTTTTTAGAACCGCGCCGTAACTTTTTAAGCGAGGAATCGCGACGGTGCTCCTTCACCTTCTAAAGAGCAAACAAAACGTATGTATTTCACCTTCTATTAACCCTTTGATGTTTGTGTAGAGTACATTCGTTGTGGAAAGGTAAATTCCGCTTTTACCGCAGAACTATTTGCGATCAGAATTGTTTCAAAGTGTTTGCCTTTCGTAAGCTAGAATTAGTTCCGTACGTCTAATAAGTTATCATCGAAAAACACACTTGCAAATAGGTAAACTATCTCTTTCTTTAGTTTTATTAATCTCACGAACGGTTAACATTTACGTCGCAATTTTCTACGATGTTCGATCTTACCGTAATTTACTGTAGGTTCAAAGCATATTTTCATTTCAAATATTCGATTATTTGGCATACAAATATTTTCCATTCTAACTATCGATTGTTTTGTTTAATAATTAATATACATGAAGAAATCGTGTAGAAATATTTATCTTGGCAAAATCTGAACACGAAAATATAATCAGATTTTAGAGAGAAAATATTCACGCGGTGAAAGATTAAATAATTTCTGTGATAATTTTTTCAATTAGCAAGATCATCCGTGTCCTTTTAAACTGTGTATTTATATTACGTGATCTTGGGCATCAAAAATATATGGAAACAATTATAATTAAGAAATAGCTATGTTAGCAAGGTCGATGAAGATAATTTAATTTCGTAAATACTCCAGATGACGTCCATTAACTTTGACACAGTGTTGACTGGTTCTAGCACATTCCTGACTAATGTAAAATGCACATGCAGTTGTTATTGTTACTGGTACCCAAGGTCGCGCGAAGGTTATAATATTACTGTTATTGTTGGATTCGTATTGAACTTTGCTATTACATGATGATGGTGATAACAATAATATACAGTGTCATTCAGAAATACGCGCAAATAAAAAATAGTCAGATGGTAAAGAATAGTTGAAAAAAAATGATTGGATTGAAACAGAAGTATTCTTGACATTAACGTGAACCATGTTTTTAAAAAAAGAAACAGATTAAACAGATTATTATTACTCGCATAAAATTCTTTAAACTGTGAACTTAATTCCGTTAAAAGAAAAAGCAAAAAATTTGGAAAGGCAGCAATCATAAATAAAATTTCCCTCCTCATAAATAAAATCTCCAAACGAAATGAATAAACGGTGTGCAACGGGGGTGGGAGATTCATTGGGTTCCCAGACGTTCGGGGATATTTAAAATGGAGAATACAGAGGTCCATTTTATCGTGATTAGCTGGCATTGTGTCTTCGTACGAATTGTTCAGAAACGGATGACCAAAGAAACAGACACGCCACGTTTCATAATTCTCTCGTTAGCCGGTCAAATTGAATATGAGCAATTATCGCGGCGCTTTCACGCGAAATTTCCTGTGACATTTTGTAGTTCCTAATTGCCAATTGGTTTCCGGATATTAGGGAATTGTAGGTTCCATATTACACATAACCGGGATATTCAATAGCCGTCCGCATTGACACGAATTTCGCTTCCACGAATAATCGATGACGTGTTATAACTGTCCTGTGAATTTACCATTGAACAACTGTATCTCAATTTGGCTAAAAATTTTGTTTTGCGTTTAATTGGAATTCTTAATTGACAAATACAATACAATGTCATTGAATCGTTGCTGTTTTATATAAACAAGCATTAATAGTTCAAAACGATCTGAAAAGTAATTTTACTTATTGTAGTTCAAATTATAATTAAAATGTTTCTCTTTGCATAAAAAGGTCAACCGTAATTTCTTTGAATTTGTCTTCTAACTGATGTAAGTCACAAATAGGTTGCTTCATAGTCCGTTTTGAATATAGTCCGACAAGTTTATTACCGAAACTAGAGCAAAAGATTTGTTACATTTGTGTTTTCTAATTTTCTCGAATCGAAAATAACTTGAAAAAATTTGTTTCACCCGACACCTGTGTATAAAAATTAATTAACTATGAAGACGAATATGAGCTACACGGTGATCTACGTGATAAATATTAATAAGTGCTAAAATACGCATGAGAGGGGTATCAAATTTTCAAATATTGGACCAGGGGGGTTCAAGTCCATCGCATTTTGAACACCTTTTTCTGAAAGAAGATTGATCCTACGCACGGTCGAATTACCTTTATAAGGTATACTTTACGGGTTAGTGAACCTTCATCGTATCGGATTGGTGTTGCCGAAGTCACCCACGCTATTTTTCATCGATATCTCTCACCCTATATCGGTTCGTCATCATCACAAAGTGTTAAGCGAAAAAGTCGGGTGAACGGTTCGAATGAGTTTGAAACACTTTTTCTATTTTCCACATGCCAAGGAATATTAGAAATCCAAGCAATGACATTAATTTCCCACATTCGAACAAATAAATAATTATCGAAATGTCATTGGTATTCGTAAAATCCATCGGATATCCCGCAGATAATCGACAGAATACGATTTCCAGATGCTTATGAATCCATCGGTCACGTAACGATAACACGTTGCTTCAATCTCATTTTTGAAAATAAAAAGAAGTCACGCGAAGCTAAATCTGTTAACTTTTACTTTTTTTTCAAAAATGAAGCTCATAGAAGAAATGAAAAATGAATTGCAACAGCTGCTTAACTCGATACAGTCCCCCAGAAATTTCTTAAGACATGATGGGGATGAGAAAGCTGCACCAATTCAGAGGGGTATTACTCTGAAGAAGATCGATTGCTATTAACATTTTTGTAAACCCAGACTAGTCTCTCTTTAAATTTAAGCTTAAAGAAAAAAATGGCGACACACGATCAAAGAAACGGTGTTTTAAACGAAGAGAAGTGTACAGGTCTCGATTTAGGAAACACGTGGCATGTGTCGGGCGCTGGTGCACTTCTTATGCACTTCAAAATTGCTACGTTATTGAGACGATTTATCTAGAAAAATTTCTTATAAATTAATTATATATATATATATATAATATATTATATTATTATATATTATAATATATTATATTATTATATATTATAATATATTATATTATTATATATTATAATATATTATTATTATTATTTAATATTATATATATAATATTTTATATTAACTATATAAAAAAATACAACAAAATTCTTTGGTCAAACTAAAAATGACTAAAAATATATGTATGTTTGTTAACAATGTGATTTTCTAATCAATTCGATTATCCTACAATTAGTCCGGCAATATTTGCCACCGATCGATGTTCACGTGGCAATGACAAAGCCTTGTTCCGTCACGGGCCAGTGATATAGTCACTAAAATCGGCAAGTGTGGGAGTTTCGTTGTACTAAATTAAGCTGGAATGTTGTATAAATAGTCGCACCCATTGCAGAAATATCTCGAAAATGTAAACAGCCCAATCCCCTGTCGTCGAATAGGGAATTTGCGAGCGTCCTAATAACAGTCATCGAGACAGCGCAATCTTCTTACGCATTTCTACTGGCATCGTCACCAACTTTTGATTTAATTTATAATCGTGGTTTAGTTCGGGATAACAACCGGCCTCTGTTTAAGCCCACGTGCTTGCGTTTCTGGTCAGAGTATCAGTTTTAACAATCACGCTCGATATGACCCTATAAGGAATACTTAAACTTCTGTTCTTCGTACAACGTCAATTATAAATAAACTAAAAATCACTTTTTCGTTTTTATACAAGCTATCAACCGGACGATGGGTGATCGTACCATGTTCAAATATGTCCACGAGAAAGAATAAGATTTTTCGGTTTGAGATCTTATTTCTTTCAAAATAATGTACTTTATGCATTTTCAAATCTGTTCTTGTCAATAGTTCTCTTTGGATCATATTGGATATAAAGATGAGGATATCCCACTCGAGATTTTTAACTGTTTGGCTACGTTTTTCAGGATTGGAAAGGAGAAAGGAAACGACGCGCCGCTGTATCCAAACCACGATACGCGTTTCGAGGAAGAAACGTTCGACGAATACGAGATCGATAACGAACGAAAAGCCTAACAAAAATGATGCTCCCGATTGTTATCTTTATCTCCGCGCTTACCACACTTTCGACTTTGATTCTGGCTGTTCCTCTGACCGATTTTAAGAATAATCTGAACAGAAATGCGATCAACAATGTGGTCTCCCCCTGCTCCGCTAATGAAGCTTGTTGGGAAGTATTACCAGTAAAGGAAGAGATTCGCGGAAATATTCCTATGGAAGAAGTCGTACCAAAGTATACATTACAGTTCTTAAATCGTCAAACTTCTAAACCGAAAAGAATTTGGAATCTTCAAGAACCTTATTTGAAAATTAATTCTTCTATGACTTCCAGAATACACACACGAAGAGAAGCAGCGAGCGTAGATCCTAACACGATTATAGACTCATGGGGGGAGAGTGCTCCTGTAATAGACAAAAGGGCTGACGCGTTGTTGCAGAATGCTAAGCAAACTAAAAATAAATTGCCGAAGAAGGATGTAATTATGTCACGTAGCTGGGGTGCTGGCGGAATGCCGTTTTCTGTCCTTTACATGAGTCCTCATAGTCTCCGTACAAATTATGCCAGTGAGTGATGAATATTAAAACATTGTCAACCAATAAAAGCTATGGATTATAGATTGAAAATCCTAATATATGAAATTGTTCAAGGTTCTGCACAACAAGAGGTGCCAAAAACAAACGACGCTTCTACACCTTCTGCGACACATCCTGATTATCGTATCACATTACGCAATGGAGGTTCGTCACAGCCAAGAAGACAATATTCGATAATACCACAATTGTTTATATCTTATGGATGGGGCCCATTTGGCAAATGAGGAAAGTCTACCAATCGAAGTACTACTACTAAGTGATCTCATGATTTGGGCAACTGCACAGACACTTCTAGAAATTCTTGAATGTACATCTATAAAAAGTTGATTTAGAACAAGTTTCATTTCGATATCAGTTCTACCTCAAAAACTCCTTTTGTCGTGCGTAACGTAAAGACAAAGTGTAAAAATAAATAAATATTCAATTATTTTTCAACTCACCATTCATCTCTTTCATTGCTTTGATGAAGTCCTGCGGATCTTTGAAGGAAACGAAGCCGAAACCTTTCGTTTTGTTTGTTCTTTTGTCCCTAACTACTTTTGCCTTTTGAAAACTGGGATATTTGCCAAACACTCTCACCAACATTTCATCTGTGACATCATTTCCTAGGTCTCCGCAAAATATTCGGAAATCATCTGCATGTACAAAGAAAATATTGTAAGCTATATGTAAAGCAGAAGAAAATTTATAAACGATACAGACAAGGTTGTAAATTAATCACCTTCGTCCCATTCTAACAAAGATGGATCTTCCCATATTTGTCCACCAGCCATCCGAACTATTTTCTTATTTTTCTTTCCTTTGCCCTTTGGATGACTTTCTTCCGCGCTAGCATTTGCCATGATAGAACTTGCTTTTCCTTGACTAATTGCCAATTCAGCTGCGGTGCTAACTCCTTTTACCTTTGGTTTCTTTTTACTCTCATCTTCTGGGATCTTTGTATTGATAATCTGTTCAATAATTTCTGGGTGAATCATTGGTGCTGATGTGGATTCATATGTTTTTGGAGTGGCAGTTAAACATGGATCCACCATGTTTGGTAAATACGGGTTACTTATCTGTGCAGGTGACGAATATGTTGTAATAGAAGGAACCGTACCTGTGTATCACAAAAATATTCTTATAGGAAATGTATAGCACAGAAGCATTCTTATATATCAAGTGGTTGTATAATAATTTACCTTGTCTTGCTACTTGTTGTGGTATTAACATTGGAGGTGGCGGAGGTGGTGGCGGTGGTGGAGGTGGTGGTGGTGGAAACCCGATCATTGGTGGGAAAGCTAATGTTGCTGCCGCCGCAGCAACAACTGGTGTAGGTAATTCATGTTGTTCTAATTGTCTAGCTACTTGATTATATGTATTTGCACCAATTACGGGTCTAACCATTGGTGTAACTAACTGACCACCAATTTCTGCCTCGAATCTAGAAAATTATTTAATCTTACAGTTAGCTAACATTATATCTACATTACCTACAATTATTTAATCATACTATTACCTGTATATGCACTTGTATTAATTTATTTGTTTTCTAACAAACAAGCTGTTCAGAATAACATAATATGCAACTTGTTATCATTTCAAAAACGTAAATACAGTTTATGTGAAATGGTAACATAAAGTTCCTTGAAAAGGTTAGAGTGTTTATGTAGCTTATAAGTATACATTACCTGTTCATTTCATCTTCCATTTGTCGTAATTTATCCTCCATTTTGATACACTTCCTTTTTGATTTGCTCACAGATTCAAATACGTATCTTTTTCTCTAATAAATAACTTTATTTGGATAAAACTCCGCAATCGATCTGTAGAGAAGATTTCTTGTTGCGCGTCACTTCCCGAACTCCATTTTATGCACTGAACTAAACCGTAGAATACTCTAGTGCGTCCGACGGCATACTGTACTGTATTACAGTAGTGCCTCGCTACTAGTCAAGGAAGGGGGCAACCGGCTTAGAATTATGAAGCAGGTAGAGAAACTGCTCCTTCTTTGATTGGTTGACGCTTCACAGCTGAACAGTGCTGCCCTCACAGCTTTAGACAAAGAGAGGAAGTGGCGAGTGAGCAAGATAGCACGACATCAGTACAACCACGAGCGAAACAAGTCACACCAATGATCAATGTAGCTTGTCTCACTTCACCATGCTTGCGGTCTCACTCTTTTCGCCCCACAGGATTCTCGACCACACAGTTCAACAGTTCAACGTATTTGCGAACATCTTGAAACAATGATCATTTCTACAATTATTAAAATCTTTGAAAACCTGTAAGCTACATTTTAACTAATGATTTCTACCTGTTTCGTAACTCGACGAGGAATTGCCGGTGATCAGAATGAGGCGGTAAAACAGTTCAACACGCTGACGTTAAATATACGTATATTTAACCCAACTCGACTAACACTTGCATATTCGCACATACACCGATGTCAGAAATTTAGCGAATTAAATAACAATTGTTGAAGCATGGCTTCTTGGTAAGACGCAAGAACACAAAATTTGTCTATCTTGTATGTTGAGCTTTGCGGGGGACCGTTTTTCACCGTCGTCGTGATGTACGAACTGTCCACTAAGGTGAACATTTGGCGGTCGGATCAACGTACATCGGTGATGCGAAGTGTTTATTAAAACGGCGACTTTCGCTTTTTCTTCTGTTGCAGTCTTCTTCATAAGAATATCGAAACTTTCACTGTTAAAACGTTTCTGAAAACCAAGTGTTAATTATGTGATATATGATTGAGAAGAGTACAAATTAAAGAAATTAAGGGAGAAGAGGGCAATGAATGGATGAAACAGCGTTTTATTTCAAAAATATACAAAATCGTACAAAAATAAAAATATACTTGAATTCTTTCAATTTAATTTCAACTTTTCATTATTTCCGACACTCTTTACGAAATACATGAACACATAACTTTTAAAGTGTCACACTTGATAGGAATCAGAAGAATGAAAAAATCTTGAAGTCTATAAGTTTCAAAGCATTAAATTTATCATTTATATCATTCAAATATCATTTATAATGAAAATAAGAAAAATATTACTTTTTGCAGCAGTTAATTAAAAAAAACATGTTTATTTTGTTACCAGTTGGATCATTCTTTAACAATTTTGAAATGATGACCATAGATTTGAATTCAGTGACTCATAAAACATAACAATACTAATTTTCATTAGGATCATATGAAGTTGCTGCAGAGGTTACTACGCGACAAGTTTCCTCGTTGCATAAGCTTCATATTTTCATTTTAAAATTTCACTTTTACGAGTAAATATTTAAAAAAAAAATATACGTGAATCGTTAACGGCAATCATGTTAACAAAATATACAACCAAATAGATGATTTTTTATGTCACATATCTGTAAGACCATAAATAAAGAAATAATTCTGACATTATTTAAAATTTATAACTCATCATCTGATTCATAATATATCTCCTGAATAGGTGAATCTCGACCTCTTGATTCGTGTGGTAAATATCCCGTTTGGAATAACGTGTCCAAGTTTACAAAATAAGATGGACTTTTTTCCAATACCCTTTCTATTTCTCCTTTTAAACGATCGTATGCTGCTCTCATACCTTGTGAATATTGAGTTAGTAAGTCTGAAAGCACATAAATGACACTTTTCACGTTCCTTTCAAGGAGTTTTAATTATTAATTTTTCTTGAATATATACCTTTGTACTTTGATCGACTAACGTTAAATAGATAACGATAAAAACACAGTTGTTTGTAAAGTTCTAGTTCTGAATACTAAAAAATTAAGACCATATTATAGCTTTTAATATACTTGATAAAACGAAATAAGTATAATTTTAAGTTTACCTCTTTATGCAGCTCCATGACTCCACATTTCCTGCAAATTAAACACCCTAATGGAATCCGCCGTGTTCTTTCATCACATAATGGATTCTTGCATTTTAGCCAACCATCATAATATTTTGTCATTACTTCTCGCACAGCAAGTGTTAATGCATTTTGTATAGCATTTACATATGTCCACGGTTGTACCGTGCACTCTGGATTTGAACATGATGCAAGTGATAATTGATCACCGTTAGGCTGTGAAATAATTTTTTCCAATAAACATTAATTTGAATTTTAAATTTAAAAAAGAACTTCATTTCTACTTACCGTTTCGGTTACAATGTCCTTTATTATAATCTCGGACCGACAATTTTGATTTACACATTTAAATGTGAATGGAATACAAAATCTGTATCTTTCTTCATCTATAAACGTTGGTATATCGGCGATACTTTGTTCGTATATCATTTTTTGAGGTTTATAAATTTTCTCTAAACCTATATAAAAATATATTGTTTTATACCATACTTGTCCGATCATTTATTTTACATATTGAAATTCAAATTATACCTAAATTCCGCATTAGTATCACGTCATTGATTCCTTCGATTGGTTCACAAATTCTCAACGCAACCGGAAGTACTTGACTTAGTAAATAATAATTAACATCAATTTTCAAAGAACTGGATTTTTTGTACTCGTCGATGTGATATGCTCTATCAGTTGCAGACTTCTCCGATTTATCCTACATAACAAGATACTATTGAAGAATGACGTCAAACACTAAGGATAACTTTAGACATATTAATTTATACGAACTTCACATATGATGTATGGTACAATATCTCCAACTTTCCATGTTCTACCACCTTGCTTATTTAATCTTAAAGCTACTTGCACGTGAGATGGTTTCGGGTTTCCATATGTCTCTGGATTTTTCGATAACTGTTTTCTAATAATTAACAATGATAGGAAAACTTGATTGTTTCGAATATTTTTCGAAACGTTTTGCAATGCCAGGAAAATCTCTTTTAGCCGATTTTTGTTAGATTGATCAGAAAATAACTGATCCAATATACACCTTTAAAGTATTTAGAATGTTCAGTAATTGCAAGATAGAAAATATTTGTGCTGTTAACCATTTTTTACTGACTTTCCTACATCAGAAGCTAGCTGACAGCAATCCCTTTTCACAATAGTCAAACCCTTGTGCTCTTGCGTTAATTCGATTTGTCCATTAGGTAATTTTGTCATTGTAACCGCAGCATACATTTTCTTCTTCAGAAGTAATAAATAGCGAAACACGCTATCGATATCTAATTCCACCAGCTTATACAATATGTTCACTTCTTGTTTGATCTAGAGAGCCGTTTTATCTGTACATGTAACTACTTTGATAGAAGTATTTGTGCTAAACATTAAATATTTACCATTCTACCAATAGAAAGAACCTTTTCATAGTCCATCGAATTAGTATTTATCATTATCGAATCAGTGTCCCCATATATAACTTCATAATTCAACGCTTCAATAAGAAGTTTTGTATCACTTAAAATTTTTCGACCTTTTGCTGTAAGATGTTTTTATATTTAGTATGTATGCAACAGTGTGAACAGAGAAATTTGTTTCAAATTTTACCTGTTACCAAAGCAGCAAGCCCTTTAGCATAAAATCTACAATGAGGTGCGCCTAAACAACCGTATATAGAATTAGCTATTACTTTCAAAGCCAACTGTCTAATATTATATCGCATTTTCAACTCGGGTGAGTTATTTGGTTCATTCATTAATCTTTTCAGTTCCACTCTACTCTCGATCAATTTGCGAATTTCTGTTGGAATTACTCCAGGTTCTAGATCTGATTCGGGGAAAACTAAATCCTACAAGCACATTTATTCAGAGCAAGACTGAACATTTCTTAAATGATAATAAATATATTTACCCCGATATTAGTATATGCAGCACCACGGACAGTAGTGAAACACAAATTGTACTCTTCGATTATACTAGGATACAATGAATTGAAGTCCATTAATAATACCAGTTTATCGTAAAATCCTTTTTTGGGCTCAAGAACTAAACCTCCGATATAAGTTTCATTGTTCTTGCACGTATTTTCTGCAATCGATGCCATAGTAGTTCCCATAGTAGTTACTTTAGTTGAAATAACTCGTTTATCTGGAGTTATATAATTTTTCGAGTGAAAAGCATGTAGTAATAAATATTCATTTCTTTCTGTACGTCCTAGTCTTAATGTTTTTGATAAAATGTTCCCTGTGGGCAAGTATATACATATTTCATTGAAAAAAGAAATACATTTCACATAATACGTCATTATCAGTACACGTACCAGTAATGCATGTAATTTCTAGTGCAAGTGGGAGAATATTAAGTTCATGTACAATAGAAAGAATATGGAATGCCTCTATTAGTGTTATTTTAATTAAATTATCTATTTTACTTGCTGTAGCATAAAATGATCTACATTCACCAAGTTTTATTTCTTTACATTCATTTTCGTTTTTCTTTAGAACCTACGATAGCAAATTTTTTGATATATATAGTAATTTTAATTTTTTTAGTAAATTTAGTTTGAAATCTTAAAAGAGCATTTATGAAATATTTACCGTTGTGCAGAGAGATTGGAGATCGTAATCTCTAACTTTCAGATTAAATTCCTTGGCTGAAACTTGTATATCACATATAGGACGACCACTAAGTACTTCATTCATATTTAATTTTCCCTACAATTTTTGCTCTTTTCAGTTTTTTTACAACAATTATATCAGTTGCTTATAGATTAAGTTCAAATAAGTATAATATGTCACAAAATTAAAACTTTATAGTAAAATATATACCTTAATTAAAGGAAGCGAGTAGCGTTTTAGCTTTCCAAATCTACTCCAATCTGGAACTTTTAGAGTGGACATTCTGTGTATCAGTGTATAAAATTGAAAGCCACAATCATATCCAATTAATAAATCTGAATCTACTGTGTTCACTATTTTTAGCAATTCTTCTAGCAGATCCACTTCAGTATCGCATACTATTAGTTTGGTATATGCAATTTTCGAGAGCATTCGGCGTGTTTCTTGCGACCAAGGAGTATCACGCGGATGCGTGATTACTAAAATAAAATACGTAATATTGAACATTCGAGGCAATATTAAAGTTTAGAATATGTAAATTTACATACAACAGATGTGTTGCTGAAACAGCGGTTTAGAAGGTTCTTTTTCAACGTGAAATTCGTGATGTATTAATATCGCAACCATGACTATTTCATTCTCTCGAGATTTCAAATTCAATGATGTTCGTACATTTAAAGTCATGATTGCTAATGGTGGCGAAGCTGGAGCCTCGGAACAAACTGATATGTTTTCCATCTTTGCACAAGTCACCTGTTGTGTTATACAATTTGTTGAGCTTTAGAACTTAACGATAGATCAAATCAAGAGATTAAATTATTATACCTTTATTTTACTCCAACAGATGTCTAAACTACTTGGTGATGGATGTTTCACATCTAACCAACAGGGTCCTTTAATATTTCTTTCTATTATAAATACTTCTAAAGCATTCACCGTGGTCCCAAAGACACGCTTTATCGATGATCCAGAATAATTCGAAGGCACAGCTGGATACCATGCTGGATATCTGACTTCTAAATATTTAGACACTAATGGAGTATCTTCTTGTTCAAAAGCATAATGTTTTGTAACTACATTGCAATCAAATTGTTTTATTCCTGATTTTTTTGCAAACTCATTAAATTCTTCATAAACATCTTCCATTGAATTCAATTTTAGTTCATCATTATTACCACTAGGAGATTGTATCTAAAATTTATAATTGTTAGAACATATTCAACAGGGGAAAAAACAAGCTTGATAAATATTTGATCATACATGCACTCTGGGAAGAAGATATATTCTTCGAGGAATATTTGAAACTTGTATACGGCAAGGACAGTATGTATTCGTAGACGGTACATAGACCTTACCAAATAAGAATACAGTTCCAGGCTTTTTGTACGCATCTTCGTATGCGTTCCACCAATAAAATCTTAACACTTCTTCTTTATTTGCATTTGTTGTAAGCAGTACAGGCAAATCTGTAGTATTTACTGTAACTTCAACATTTTTCGTTTGTGTTGAAAATTCAGTGTCCAATATTTTGCTGAAGTCTATAGATTCAGCATCTTGATTTGTACATTTATTTTCGAAATTATAAGACATGGCCAAAATTTCCCAAATATTTTACTATAGATTTAATAAGTGGATATTATGCCCACTAACGTATCACGATAAAATTACACAAAAGAGGTATTTTAAAATACCCATGTACTAGAAACGTATTAACACTTTTCGGAATTTCGGAATTCGTATTAACATTTATCGGAAAACTGAAATTGTGTAAACACTGCTATGATTCTTAAGAGGCTAAAAAATTACAACAATAATAAAATATATTATCAAACTTGGTTTCAAATTTTATTTTCAAGCTACTAATTCAAGCTACTGAACAACTCTGATACATAACGGAACTTTTGAACTAAAATTCAATATGGCTGCCATCTGCATGCGCATCAGGTAGACCATGTGCTGACGCTCATTTCATGCGCATGCGTTTCATAGATAGACAGCTTATCGTTGACAGTCGAACATCGCTGCAGAACACACGTGCTCGTGTATTTATTATTGAATAATTTACTTGACGAAGTTAACAGACATGAATGAAAAACAAAAGGTGCAGCATTTGATTGTTGATACGAGTGCATTCATCAGAAATGCAGCCTTACAGGTAAACTTATTACTATATATGTGTGTGTGTATGGATAAGATTAATTGTATTTTATTTATTTCGTAACGTCGATCAAAAATTTTATGTCAACAATATCAAAGTCAATGATATTGCTTTGATACCGAACTTAATTAGTTGTTAAAAATTCTGTAGTTTATAGTAATATAATAACGAGAAATGATGCCTTTAGGACATTGGAATAAATATAATAACAGAACAAGATGTAGTAAATGAAGTGACGAACAAGAGACAGTTGAGAAGATTGGTTGTCCTGCCATATGATTTAATAATACAAAGTGCACATCCTGAGAATATAAAATTTGGTAATATAGTGTAATTTACATGTATTCAAACTGTTATTTAACATATGTATCAAAATGTATTTTATATAGTAATCGTGATATCATATTTATAGTTACCGAGTTTTCCAAGAAAACAGGTGATTACACAAGTTTATCAGCAACTGATATAAAAGTAATTGCATTAACATATCAACTGGAAAAGGAAAAAGTAGGAACAGATCATTTAAGAACTGCTCCACTTGTATCAAAAACTGTAGATTACAGTGTCAGTCAGGCTAAGGATTCTCGTACTACATTATCTGGTTTTTACATACCAGAGAAAAATGTAAGCATATATTTTTTAACTAATATATGTAAAACTGAATATGACTATTAAAATCTTTTTATGTATAGGAGGCTGTAGAAGAAAAAGATACAGAGAAATATGATTCAGAAGAATTAGGTAACGAGAATGATTTGAAGAATAATGATGAAGAAAAAGTGGAAATACAAGTGGAGGACAAAGTAAAAGATTGCAATACCGAAGAAGAAAAATCAGAATCATATTATAGTGATTCTTCTGATGAATCGAACTATGAAACTGCAGATTCTGATGTCGACCAAGAAAGGACAGATGATTTATCTTCTAAGTTTTTAAAGTTAACTTGTGAACCATCAGAATTCATAGTTCAAGCTGAAGATAACAGCGAATACAATGTTAATGACATTCTTGCTACCATTGAAAACACTTCTGACAATGGAGATAACAATGTTGAATACAATGAATATGAAAGTGACGGAGACAATGACAACAATAATGATGATGACAGTGGATGGATTACACCTAGTATGATTTTTAAAACCTCATATTATGAAAAAAAATAGTTCTGTTGAATACATAGAATCTTCTTTTCATTGCAGAGAACATCTCTACCGTGAAGAAGGAGATTAATTCAGACTTCTTAGAAGAAAAACCTGCAACTGTCGCATGTTTAACAATAGACTTTGCGATGCAGAATGTTTTAAAACAAATCGGTTTGAATGTAGTAGCCTTGGATGGAAGATTAATTAAACAGATGAAAACATTTATCTTCAGGTGTTATGCATGTTACAAGACGACCAGTATCATGACAAAAGTTTTCTGTCCTAGTTGTGGCAATAAAACATTAAAAAAAGTTTCAACGACAGTTGACGAAGAAGGAAACCGACAAGTTCATATCAATTTCCGAAAACCAATTTCAAAGAAGGGAAAAAGGGTAGGCTTGTTCATTTTTTATTCTTTTCTGTCCAATTTTATGTAAATGGTAAATGATACACAATTTGTTTTAGTTTTCTTTACCAATGCCAAAAGGTGGAAAACATGCGAACAATCCCATACTTTGTGAAGACCAACCATTACCTGATCAAAAGCAAACAAGACTGGCTCGCACTAAAAATGATCCTTTACAGGATGATTACATAGCTGGATATTCTCCATTTATTATGCGCGACGTACATTCTAAATCAGCTATGTTAGGTATACGGCCATCAGGTTCTGTTAAGTATTGGATGAAAAAAAATCCAAATGAATGTAGAAAGAAGCGAAAATAAGAAATTTATATCATAATATGATATGCATCGTAAAAATATAATTTTTGTTTAATATGTACGTTAAACATTGTATATTGAAAATATCTGTACATACCTCTCAGATTTAATTTTTAATTATTCATCCTTTTCTAACATATTTCTCTTCGTAATGTATAGTATGCGTAAAACATTTAAAAAAAAGAGAAGAATTAATCAAATATCTTGTCAATCATCTTATCTATTTTAAGAATAAAAAGGAAATTGCCCCGGGTGAGGATCGAACTCACGACCTTAAGATTATGAGACTTACGCGCTGCCTTCTGCGCTACCGAGGCTTGAAATACTTTTTCGCTAAAATTTTATTAAAGGAGAAGTATATGGCAACACGTGGAATGAATCTTTTGAACTAAGTTTTGAAAGCTAAGCAACAGCCTATGAACATCTTCGTACAGAAGAGTGAAAACAAGTGTTTCCAAATTATACTTTTGTTTATAAAATGCTCAGCCCGGAAACATGGAACTTTAAGCCACCCCAACATTTTTTTTCTACACAAAAGAGAGATTTCAAGAAGACAGATGTACCAGACATCGTCAAATCACATTTTTTCAATCATTCTGTACGTAAGATACCGTTCGTCATTAATTATTATTTTGGGTAGGTTATGTTTTGAGAAATCTTTACATAATTCGCAATTACTTTTGGCTTTGCGCCAGGTATCTCTGGTGCTTCCTGACACCGTCAGAATTCCGGATGATTTGCAAAGTTGCATTTCAGAAGATAGCGACTATTACCGAGTCAACGCTGTGAATGTATTTGATTTAATAAACAAAGAATTCATTGAGGCATTTGTTAAAAAAGGTAAATACATGATGCGGTACAAACAATTAATTAATATTGCTGTTTGATCATTGCTTACTTATCAAAGGTTTGATATTTCATTTAAACATAATAAAAAAAATTTACGCTTATTATTTACATAATAATTAATCGTAATAATATAACATATGTTAGAAACGATTATATTTATCATTATCCTATAAATGGAAATTCTTATGGATTAGAGCCAATATTTTAAATTAAGAAGCAAGAGCATCATAATTTTCTGCAATACAATGAATAAGTAGTGAATAATGTATTTGATTGTATTACATAGATTTCAATTAACTTTTTTTAGGAGAACTGAGTCTTCTGACAATTGGAAATAAAATAGATGTGGATAATGCAATTGTCATTACACCAACTGGACATTTAATATTATCATTATTGACAGAAGATTTCCAAATACTCGGTTTAGAGGGAAAAGTCTCTTTTTTTGACTGTAAAGTACATACACGTTATGGTAAGTTCGAAGGAAGTAAATAAAAAAAAATCAGAATGCCAAAGAAACATCAAGTACCTATGCTAGTGGATCTAGCTTTACAGTCCATCGGCGAATTTGTAATTGCTTTTGGTAGATATATGACAAAGCTTGTCTGCACCATTTCTAAAACAAATCCAGAATGTGGAAACGTTAAATTACATTCAATGTTAGAATTCATGAAAGATTTACTAAACTCCAATGTACCACGAAACTTGTACAATAGAATGTCCGTGGCGGTGTTGACAGCGGTTGAAAATTTAGTTGAAGAAACCAGAGGTACATACAATGACTTTGTTTTAACTACAGCCTTCCTATCAGAAATGACAATTGCTCTTCACTTAACAGAAGTTGCTATAGGTGCACATTTAAGAACAATTGAATTCTCAATTTGGCCTAAAATTATGAGGCACATGCTTTATAATAAGTTACACGATATGGTCGGCCTTGAAGTTTTAGACTTGGGCTCAGGTTCAGCTGGTTGGAGAACATCCGACATCGAGAAAATGATTATCAATGGAGTTTCTGTCATGCCGAACTTAGCATGCTTCATTTTATGTTCTGACTGTACAGATAATATTATAATGGCCTTGGCTCAGCATTGTAAAAAGCTGCAAAAGCTAGATGTAACTGCATCTAGGTCTGTAACAGAACGCAGCGTTCTTCCTCTGCTTTCATGTAAATATTTAACACAAGTTAAATTATGTAGAACTTCAATGACTATACCTGGCTATGCAAATCTGTTCTTAGAGCATTTGAACATACAAGATATTGGTAGATGCGATGAGTTTGGGTTTGTTTTAGAGCTTGTCAATAAAAGAGAAACCAATGTTAAAGGTTCTTTTCACATAAGAACGTTTGAAAGTCGAAATTTCAGTATGGAACATTTATATCTTTTAGTAGACATGTGTCCATATATTACAAGTCTTTGTTTACTACGTGATGAAAGAATTGTTAACTTAACAATTCTTGCTACTCTTGACTACTTAAAAGAATTAAAGCTCTTGTCTTGCGATTTTTATACCCATGGAATAAACTCATTATTGGAAATAAAGGGTAGCACAATTATAAGTCTGCACTTGGAGCATGTAGAAGAAATTGATCTAAATGCACTTATTTCCATAAGCCAATACTGTCCAGGTATAAAAAGCCTAATGTTTTATAATTGTGAATTCTTAGAACGTGCACAAAGATATCCAAGGAAGCTTGCAGTTTCACCTTTTCAATTGTTAGAGAGAATCAAATGTGTAGCGGAATGCGCTAGTATGCACCTAGAATTTTTGCTTTCTCATTGTACGAATATCAAGTTTATACAATTGGGTTCATCAACTGGTATCGAAGATGAAACAATGAGAAGAATACTTTTGCAAAATCCAATGAGCAAATTAGAAGAACTTAAAATATTATACAGTCATGATTTATCAATGAGAACTATACAACTGTTGATGGAAAATTGTGATAATTTACAACGTTTATCTGAATTAGAAAACTGGCAAGGAATATCGCCTGCAGAGTTAAATCTATTTAGAGAAGAATTAAAAAACACTAATACAAATTTGGATACGAGTCCAAATGTATTTTTTGCATAAATGAAATTTCGAAGGTGATTAAATTGTTGTAGACAGTGTAGGATATATTTTTTTACATTATCCTATATAATAAAGTTATATTAATTAATTAATATATAATCGTTTAATATTTTGTGCATACTGTAGATCGCGTAATCTAATATTTATATCTTTCCTTTTCTTCATGTTAAAAAAACAGTTTAGCAGGAACAATAGTTAACAGTAACTATTTATTAACGTAGATTTTATTGTATATTCGTGAATAAAGTTTACATTTTATTATTATTACTTTCTATTTATTTTTTTTACCGGTAATGCAAATTGAAGTTGTGACTATTGATTTAAAATCTGAAAGCTTTACACCTGGTAAGAAGAATTACGAGCACGTCCGAACATCGTTGAAAGAACGTTTAAAACATAAATTCGACGTAATATTTTCTTGGAATCCACCAGGTAAAGTAATCCCAATCAGCTTCTTAATTACCATTAATTTTGCGTGTTGTTCACTGAATAATTTATTTTACTTTCAAAGATGAAAATTTGTGTCCATCATCGATAGCAGCATGGTTTCACGAGCATCAATACAACGTTCTTCTTTGTCATTTAACTTTTACACAAAAAACTGAATATTCTTTAAAAATACCGACGATTTCAGAAGAAGGTGATAACAATACATTTTTTGAGTGGCTTGGAGTTTTTAGTATTTCTGGTGAATTGTACGTATAAAATATATTATAAAAAACGTTGGTGGTGAAAGAAGGTTTTACGACAATAAGTTAATTGTTTCAGAAAAAATGTTAAACCAGACGATTATGTAAACACATATATATGCCCATCACCGTCTATGGATGTTGGTCAAGTCAAATATTTGCAATGGACTGGTTTTTTTACAAGACAGCAAGTAACAAGTTTATATAAGGCCATAAAAAAATATGTATCAGTGCAAAACACTATGCCATGGGGTGTTTTACATGTACAAGGTTTTTCAGACAGTCCACTTAGTTGGGATTTAAAAGAACATACATTTTATACTGATGGTGATAATAGTTATACAATTGTATTTAGACCAGCTGC